CAATGTGCAGAGAGCTCTTTAAGAAAGAAAAATCGAAAACCAAAAGCTTAGCATCAAAAGGTCATTTTCTAATATTCTACGCAGTAACCTCTCTTTATAATGAAGGCCCCTACCAGCTAGCAGAGCCAAGAAAGCCACCCCCTGCTTTTTCCCACGTACATCTTTCGGGAGCGTTGCTATGTTGAAAAGGTAAAATTCCTTTTGGCCAACAACACGCAATCCGGTAACAAATTACCAGTCCAAATGCCTCGACAGAAGAACAAGTCTGTGAATTCTTATAGATGTGTGTTGCCTCCAACATGCATAAAGTGACACAATGCTGTTCAAAGCACTCAAACCCAGTAACGCTCCTATCCCACATTCTGTACTGTTTTGAATCTTACAGTAACAGTAAGGAAGGTCACAGCTAAATATTTTTAACTGACAAAAAAATAACAGTTTATCCAAAAAAGTTATTCCTAAAAGCCCCGTAGCAGCTTTCAGTCACTTTCAGGAAAATAAAGCCAGAAACAAAATAAGATAATCCCAGCACTACAAGAAATTAAGCTATATGCTATACTAAATTATGTTCATAAATCTAAAACTGTAAGCGTCAGTATATTTAAAGATGCAACTTGTCTCAATTTAGGCACTTTCCTATATTTGGACTCATACAGAGAGTTTAAGCTGACATAAATCTTACATCAGAAGAGATTAAAGTAAATATAAATCACAAAATTCTCCCTTTTAAGAACACTTGCACGTTCATCTAAGAGTTAAAAGGGGCGTTTTAACAATAAACTATTCTGGTCTAACCCAGACAATGCCAGAATGCCTTATTCTGCTTTCTGCTGCTATCTCCAACCTCGTGCTTCCTTGGCACCAGCTCCAGTATATACCTAACCTCCCAGTGAGCTCGTTCAGGGAGCTAATCCTGCAGAAAGCTAGCTTGTCAGGAAAAACCTAAGTATTTCTCTGCTGGTTTAACCCCCTGAATGAGCTCACCAGGAGTGAGACCAGTGTCGCCGGCCAGCCCACTAAAACCGGTGGTAATGCCTGGTGGCACTGAAGAGGGGAACGAGACTGTCTCCTTGTGGTGGAAACTAGCCACTAGCTGAGCCCAAGTCTCCAAGTTCATCGATTTTATTACTCTGCAATGATTTTATTGGCTACTACAGACCTTAAAAGTAACTTAGGAGTAACAATTTTCAGGTATCTAAAAACACTGATCCATTGAGTGGCAGAAGTTTTTTCCTGAAGAACACTTAGTATCCTCATTTCTTTAAAATCGCTTGATTCAACACCAGATTAACATTTCAACAAGGTTCCTCAGACACTTCCAGCAAGTACTCAAGCAAATACTTAACCTCTAATATTTCTGCTTTTTCACTGGAATTTTTATTAAATAAATTCTAGACATCATTTCCACAGATAACTGAGGAGAATTTGTCTAATGTTGTAATAAATAAAGAACTTAATTTTTTTAAAAAAATACAAAGAAATAAACATAACATGACTTTTATGGATGTCACTGTCTTTGGTCGACATCCAAATGCATGCTAAAAATAATAAGAACAGAGTTATATTAAACTAGTAAAGTACAAGGTGTCTTGATGCAAAATACTGGTTTGCATAAAACAGAAAAATATTTTTCCAGAGAATGTAAACTAAACCAGCTAAGGGAAAAAACACCAGACAAACAGCTCTAAGTATTACAAAGACACTGAAGACTGAGTATTTACGTATTATGTCAGAAATAGAATCTAGTGAAATGGTTCCTGAGGTACCATTTTTAGAACTAAAAATCACAGATATGAGAATATGAATAAGAGCTACACAAAAACTTTTGTTCAACTAAAAATCCAAACGAGTTACTAAAAGTTTACATTAACTCCTAATTTCAAGGGCAAACATGACACATCCAGATAAACATCAGCAACTTTTGTTACTATGTTCAAGATACAAAATACTAATTCGAAATCCTTGAATTCTTCAGAAATTCACAATGATTTTGAGAAAAGGCAAGATACTCTGAATATGCCTTGAAATCACCAGTGTGCAGCAATTTTTAAGAGTTTTCATTTCATGGGCACTGAAGTGTCCAAGAATCCATTAGTTTAAATTTATTCATTTAACAGAACACATTTTTTCACAAATTTCTATTCTTCTCCCTTCTCAATTATGAGAAACTCAGTCGAGCATCATCATCCCAGTGACAGGAAAAACAGTCTTCACTTTCATAAAAGCAATCATTACGTCCCAAAGCTCCAAGAGAAAAGACAAGAGAGACATTAGGCACCAGCTTTGCTGGAACACAACAGCAACAGATAAGACTTGTAAAGTAGCAGCACTGGTCATGCAAAACACCTGGTGCTGTGAACTGGAAATAGCAACACTTAAAATTCTCCGGGGTATTTGTTATTACTAACCTAGATACCATCTTTTATTTGCTACCAAGGTATCAAGTTCATGTATGGCATTTTGAGGCTACGTATTTCATAGTTCTAAGACACATGCTTCCTTTACACATAGTTGAATACGGACTTTTCAGGTGTTCTTTCTTAAACTGTATCTAATTACATCTCAACGTGCTGCAGAAGCAACAGCAGTCTCTTTAGGAAAGTGAGAATTGTAGTATTAAAAAACAGAGTTGTACTTGCTTCCTGCTTTTGCTCATGGCTACTATTCCAAAGGCAAAAAAAAAAAAGAAAGAAAAAAAAATCACATAAATACATTAACATGCGGAATTTAACAGTAAAATTAACAGTAAACAAGGAAATGAGGTAAAAAATGATCCATCCCAAAACCTAACCACGGTTATGACCACTATTGTCAGATATTGTAAGAAAAATCAAATCAAATTTATTTCCGAAGATGTTTGTGCTTTCCATTCCACAGGCTGTCTTAATTTATTTGTATCTTTTAGAAAAACATTTGATTCATATCCAAAAATGAATCTAAGCCTGTATTTATTACTGAAGACACAAGAATGATTTATGTCTCACTTCCAAAACTTCATTAGTGGCTGCAAGCTTCTGGAGATGCATCACTCTTTCGACCTACCAGAGCAACTATGAAAAATATGCAAATATTAGCAGTGGTTTTATATGCAGATTAGACTACATTTCTTGCCTTTCCTACTACGGATGTTACTCTACCAGGGCAGCATAACAATGAGAACAGATTCTGGTGTATTAACCATTATGTTGTTTTTCCTCAAGCCAAAACTTCTAGTCATACTGCAAGTGGCAGCAAGCATTATACCTACACTAGTATTCCCTCTTTGCAACCGCTGGTGGCACTCCACTGAAGTATTAGGAGTGGTGGGAAACTAAGAGAAAAGGGTAACGAAGACAAGGCAGTTGGCTGCCCTTGTAATCTGCAATCAACTTAAAGAGCTACTTTAGGTCATGAGAAATTTCAAAGACGACAACTCTTTCATAGCTCTCTTCCCATGGTCGGAAAAAAAAAAAATCACGTGGAAAAGAAATACTACTTGAAAAAACTACTCTTTCACTAGCTTTTACGATAAAGTGCACGTAAGCCAATGTATGAGGGCATCAATCACTTCCCTAATTAAGTGCCTTTTGAAAGTAATGCACAAACTTATAAGAACGTTCAACATATATCAGCTGGCTCACACACTGTTTTCAGATATTGGTATCTGCAATCCATTTACCTGATGTAGCGTCATTGTCTTAGTACAGATGACTCAGATAAAAACCAACGTGAAAACACAGTTTGTTTTCATGTTTAAAATCTCCATTCGTCTCCCACAACAATAACAGGAAGAGCTGTACGGATCGATATGCAAGATTACTTGCATAGGGATTTTTCTTCTACCCATGAAAACGTATGTAAAACTTTCTTAACCAGGTAAAATACGCAACACTTACCAGATCTCTATGAAGCACCCAGTTTGCATGGAGGTAATGGATTCCATCAAGAATCTGGTAAAGCAGTGATTTAACCATAGATCTTGGCAACTGCATGGGCTTTTTATTTGCTTTTGAGGCACGGTGAAACTTGATAATATGCTAGAAATAAAACAAGTAGAAACATGAAGCGTTTTAGATAAGTAAGAAGTTTTGTCAACTATTAACACTAAATAATGGAATGAAATACAAAGTTTGTCAAACTTTGCAATTAAAAACAATAGTCGCGTGCCCCCAATTTTCTTAAACTGTTTTTTGTTCTCTGGGTTGCTTTAAAAAACGGCTGTCGAGCTCTTCACAACATCTAAAGACTGGCTACTTACCTCCATTAAAAATTCTCAGACCTTCTCCTCTCTCCCACCTCACCCACTGGGATCCTCTTATCCTCACAGCTGCTAGAGCCGAAGTTTCCAAACCAGCAGTAGCTACTGGGAAGAGGCCTGCACTTAACGTCTTCAGGCCTTCCCTCCTCTCCAAAGATGCCCGGGGCAGAGCACTTGCAACTACTTTTGTGTTCCCCCCATAAATTGTAATCCCAGCAGACGAGATTAAAAACAAAACAAAACCCCACACAGGACAACGTTACGGTGAAGTCGTGTACAAACATCTAAAAATGGCTATGTTCTCACTTCAAAGCTTTGCCTGTAGATGTCATTGGTGATGAGAAGCTAGCGGTTCCTGGATTACAGAAGTCAGTCGGTCGTTAGGGGATAGATATGAGAACAAAGAAAGCAAAAAAGGGACCCCAGCATCAGTCAGGGGAAGGAATGAAAAGAAGGAAATGAAAAAGACTACTGAGAGATCATGAAGTATTCATAAACTAATTAATACTTATTGTAAGATGAGTTCAGAGATGAAGGGTTAGGTTTGGTTTTGCTACCCTGCACAACGCAAGAAATGAAATGGTGGTGGGGGGAGAACGGGCTTTCTACGTTGTCAGTCCTCAGACAAGGTGGGATCACGAGAGGCACAAACCCTGTTTTAACATCCTGTCGTTCAGCAAATTAACCGAGCCAGTCATTCAGATGAATATGTATCCTCTCTTAAGGAGATTCAAAGCAGCACCTCAAATAACAAAACAGTTTTCAATTATGTGCTTTTTTAGGACAGAAATTATAAAGGCTATTTGCATTTCTACTGAGAGCAATTCAGAATGCTAATCTGAACAGTGACAAGACTATTAATTACTCCGTTCTTTAAATAGGATTTGTCTAGTTCAAGATCTCCCTTCCTCAGCCCCCTCCCCGAGCTGAAGAGGCAGCCAGCGGCTGGGCCTTCATTACACCTCTGCTCCCCACTCCCCTCCGAGCTTGCCACTTCTTGCTCCTATGAAAACAGTAATGCTTCCCTCACAGTGAACATCACCTCCAGCTGTCAGCGGCACTTCAGCCACTGTGCTTAGCAAAAGGTGTAGACAATATCCTTGAAAGAGAAACAAAAAAATTGCAGAAAATCCCAAATAAATCAGAACAAAAACCTGGTTATTGCCTGTCCACATTAACGTTCCCATTGATCCTTCCACTACTAGAAAAAAACAACAGTGATGGCTGTATATTAAGGAAAACATCCAGGATGCAAAAAAAAAAAAAACTATAGGATTATCAGTTTTTAATATACAAACAAGGCTTAGTTAAACAAATCAAGCTCTCGGTACCTTATTCTTCAATTGTGCAATTACTCTGAAAACTATAAGGAATCACTTCCCTAGAAAATTCTTCCTGTTGTCATGTTGCAAAAAGATTTTAAGGCAAAAACTTCGGTTGAAATATGGGAGTCCCCACCTTCCAGTATGTACACTGCTCACTGGAAGTGACCCTCAGGCGTAACTACAATGTGATTTATAAAGTAGTAACTCTACTACAAAAACAAATTACAGTAAGAAAAAAAATATAAAAGCAGCAACAGGCAAGGGTCACCATGCAGAGACGCATAAACCAGGCCAAGTAATAAAAACTAAGCCCTCAAAAACGTGGCACATGTAATCACTAGAAGGGATTACTACACTCTTAAAAACTGACTTCACACAAAACATTACTCCTTATAATACGAAGGCATATAGAAAATGAAAGTGCAAAAGGACTCAATGGGACAAAATTAGCAGCTATGCTGCACTCACTAAGAACGGTATGCCTCCCGCCCTTATACAGCGTCTTGGGTAGAGGCCTTGCTGTCTGCGCTGTGATTTTGGGGGAAGAGGGGGCCATTTCTCCTCTTCCATAGGAACGCCTGTACAAGCTTTTGAGGCACACAGGCCGCTCCCTCTACCCTTACGCTGAGCCTAACGTATGCAAGCTGCCTCTGAACCACAGCTAGTGCAAGTTAATCAGTGCAATGCTGAACCTAAACTAAAACGTGCGGCCTCTCCACTGGACTTGCTAGCTCAGGCTCACCGCCACGCTTGCGCGGCCGGCTCACGTCTCAGAGCATGGCAGAGCTTGCTTCCATTTGCCCATGAAATATCATTTGCACACATCCTAAATTATCTTGTTCTCATGATGGTTTGTCCCAAGGTTAGAAAGGCTAAGAAAGCGTGCTCCTTCCTTTCTGCCTCGGGTTAAGTACGTGATTTTGTTTCCCTCGACCCTCAGGGCACTGTACGTAGCTTCCAAAGGCCAGCTCACTTGGTTCCTGCGTTCTGCTGTGTTTTGTTGCAGTTTGTTTCTTGCAAAGAAATCAGGAAAACTACTGCCACATAACCACAGCCAACACAAGGTGCTTCTACACGAAGAGAAGACCTCTAGTCTACTAGAGACACGTAGCAAATGGCTCAAACGACATCTAGTGAGGCAATTCACAGGACAGGCTTACACCACCTTCAAAATTTCATATCCTCAAATATCTTCACCAGTAAAATTCAGTGAAGAACACGAGAGAGATGTCAAAATGCCACAAGAGCAAGAGATTCAAAATTTTTTCTTTGAAGATAACATAAGTTTCTCCAAAGAGATTTTTCTTTAGATGTCTAAATCTAAACAAGGAGCTTCTCTGCTAATTTCAACTCTACGTGTTTTTGAAGTGTACAAGTACGAATTGCAACTGCTAGTTTTTCTTTAAGCAGGCACTATCTCCACTAAATAAAATTGTTTCCTATAAAAGTGAATAAAAATTATTGCTGCCAACTTACTCTAATATAGACAGGTTTATATTAGTCACAAGAGCAGACTTGACTCCATCACAATCAAGATTTGAGGACTGAACTGAAATTAAACTAAAAATACACTGCAGGGCCAAATAGTTCAGGGAACTAAGATGCTGAATCAGTCCCATGCCACTGGAATGAAGCCACTGCACTTGTGACCAAGTCCTATTCTCAAGAGGTTTGTGGAAAATCAGTTCTTCCAACTTCTTGTATGCAAGTACCCATATAAAAAAAGACCACTACATAAGCAGGATCAAACAACTATTTTAACAGCAGCATCCATCTAAGAATCAGAAGAGCAAAGGGATGCCATTACTGACCTCTACCTCTTGCCTCTACTGCAGGCAATGAGCACAAGCCCTTTCTTATATTTCTGAAAATATAAAAGAAATATGGCCCTACTACTGCTGTGGGAAAATATTCCCCAATTTAAAAATAAATAAATAAAAAAGTTAAAAAGGTACAACAGAAATAAATGAACTGTCATAATTTGACAAAAGAAATCAGGCAAGGATCAGGTTTATCGTGCTCCTAAGCAAAGGATGCCATACTAGCACAACTACACTAAAAGAACTATAACCTGGGCAATTCTGCTGACCAGCTATAGCAGAGAGATGTGCTCTTTCCATATCACAAAACATTTAAGATTTAACAGTTTAAATTCAAGACAAAGGCTGTAGAAAAGGGTACAGGTGACAGCACAAGCTAGTATGTCCCTTACACATAACTGCACTGTGCAAATGAAATGAGGCATGCTGTACCAGCTTCAGGTCCTGAGCAGTCCCAAAGTGCAGTCTTAAGTATAGTATGTAATATCCATAATCTTAAGGCTAATGAGGGTTTGGATAATTTCAGTCTTCTGGTGCAGGAAAAAAAGATAAAGTCAATACACAAAAATACAGACATACGTGTTTAAAAAAAAAAAAAAAAAAAAAAAGGAATTACAACCACGGTCTTCCTCTTCCCTTGATGACTGCCCTGACCACAAGGCTACAGAACCACGCTCTTTCTTTCTAAGATTCAACAAAGCTTTTTGCCCAGCAGCACAGCATTCCGACTGTCTGGTAAGCAGAGAGTACAGACTTGAATCCTACCAGGTTTTGGAGGCGACTGAACCCAACTAAGTGCCCTAATCTACTTTAAGCAGTAACGGGACCTTCTCCTACTTAAAGGAGTATGAAAAGGAAATAAAAGGAAAAAAGTATTTTCTTCTGACTGTGCTGACACTATAGAGTGCCCTATTTAGACTGCTGGGCTTTATATCACTGCGTGCCCACCGTGCTCTTAAAAGAGCATCCAAGACCTTCTGTAGTGCTCCCTGGGGCTATAGGACACGGCAGCTCCTCACTTTAAAGTGTGCGAGCTCCTTGATGAATTTTACCCACAGTAAATAACCACTATGAACAAAATGCGACTTTCCACAATTTAGTCAAGTCAGAGAGGCGTGTTTGTAGTGAGAAGATGAGCAGAGAGAGGGTGAAATAGCTTCAACATCCTCTGTTTTTTCCCCCCTCATTGTCACTCGCTAAACCTAGCTTGATTCCCCCCTTCATTCTGGTAGCGCCCCGAAAGGCTGGGAAATACCGAAGCACATTCAGCAAAACAGTCCAGGGAAGCCTTACGCTAGTGTGCACTAGATGAGTTGCATGCTACAGAAGAGAAACTCCTCCCCAAGGTTATCCCCCCATAATTTCATTTTAATTTGTAAGAACATGGCAGATGACATTTTTAAAGACCGTATAATTTGAATTTTAAAACTGCAGATAACAGCAAGCTCTCGTTCCGATATAGCTAAGAAAAGAAAAGAAGAAACGTGTGTCATACGAGGGGAATGAAACTTGAAGAAACATTCAGTCTACTCAGTAAAAGCGGCCAACTCAGTTTCCCTTTCCAGGCAACTGTTTTTTCAGATTCCCAAATATTAAAAACATGCTGCTGCTGATTTGATTCCAAAAAAGTTGGC